TTTCAATTATAATTATTGAAACCATAACTTATTACCATGTTTAAAATAAAATATACATACTACACTGATCATATAGCACATATTTTTTCTTAGAAAATTTTTAAATAATAATAAAATCTGCTTGATGGTGCTAATACCATCCCTGGAATGCTAAGTAACTACCAAAGTACACTCTCTATTTGCATTTATGCATAAAGTAAAAAACAATAATATCATTTTCAAGTTAGTCGGTATATCATATCGATTGCTTGCAAAATAAATATATTAAAAAATTTTAAAAATTGACTGGTCGTTAACAAATTTTAAATCAGTACTTCGAAAGTTGTTCTCATTTTTATACCTAGGTGGGAGGAAGAATACGACCGGGAAATGACTATTAATAAAAAAAACTGCACCCACTCCTCACCATCAAAAATAACTTTTAATTATTGATAACTTCTGAAATACTAGTCCAAAAGTAGTTATAGCCCAGTCATTTTCTTAATTACTTCATTATTTATTAAGAACTCTAGTAAATTATGAACATTGCCATATATAAAAATAAATTTAACATCCTATTAGTTATATGGAATGATATTTATAGCCGATTAATCAAGAAATATACAAAACAAAAAGAAATAAAGTTTTATATGTATTATGTATATTTTTTTTTTACTTTTTCTTAGCTTTAGTGTATGTTATAATTGACCCGAGGCAAGTTGTAATACAAACATACACAAGGTCTTCCATCATGTTCTGACAAATCGTTTGACTTTCATTACATTGTATATTTATCATTACTTTTATAAACTTTCTAGAGGTTAGAACTATAATAGATATTATAAATAAATTAATATATTTTTATTTTATAGAGGTTGTAAAATATCTTAACATTTTAAATTAAAAATGTTGAACTTTTTCGTGTTTATTTTACGAATGAATGAGTGCTTATAACTGAAGTGAAAGATATACAGGACTTTAAGTGAAAAAATACTCAGGGAGACTCATTCACAATATTATTTTGATCGTTCCGCGTATCTATGGACAGTCTTACGGAAGGAGGAGTTGGTATATGTAATAGAATAACCTTTTCTTTAAAGATGCCAATTTAAACAATAATAAAATGGGTACCCCTTCTAATAGTTTTTTTACTAACATATCATATGTTAGTTAGATAAGATAAATCATCGTATTTTATCTTAAAATTTTGTCAAATGAGATACACAACAAATGAATGATCACTGATAACACTTTGTTACCTGTTATAAAATATTAACATATATAATAAGCTATTTTTATATGTTCACAATTAAGGATATATCGTGACTCATATAAATGTTAATCAGTTGATATAAAATTAATGTTTTGTAAAATAGCTGATATCATTGTGGCCTACTATTATACAAAGTCAATTATTAAATACTCTTTTTTTTTCTCATTTTATCATATCATATTGATTATTTTAACTATAAAATGTAGCTTTCCAGGGGACATTTTCAAAATTTTCTTTATATGAACACTTTTCAAGCAATTTTAGAAGTAGAAGGATTAAGTACCATATAGTATATAGAAAATATAATAATATTATCATCACAATAACGATTACATTTCTTATTATCAAGGTTCGGAACTTTATGCATTTATCAAGTTTATTTTAGTCAACCCGAGTACATCAATGATAATTAGATATTCATGTTAGTTTTTGTTATCATTGAACCAACCGTTTAAATTAATTTTATAAATGCATTAAGTCCTAAACCCTGCTCATTATATAATTTTTGTATATTATTTGTATCTTTAGAAGCATAAATAAAATGTTATAATTTTTTTAATCAACGTAAAACAATAATTTAGTATAGAGAAAATATAATTTAAATTTATCTAAATATTATTATTAAAGGAACAACGTTATATAAATATATAACAAAAAAGTATATTGTATAATTGTACTTAAAAATTTATATTGTGCAAATATAAAAACCTACAATATTTTTTGTATAAAATTATTCAGTTGATTAATTTTCAAAATCTTGATAAACCTATATAAAAATAGGTTAAACAGTTATACGATAACATTTATCAATCATTTATCTAACAATTTTGATTTTTTAGCGATTATACAAGTTTTAATAAAAGCAACAACTAGTTTCAATATAAAAGTATTTTTCAATTTTATTTAATAAAAATATGTTTGTTGATTCATGCGAGGGTAATTTTCATAGATAAAATACCATTACAATAACCAATACATAGTATGTAAAAATCGAGTTATTTTTATCCATTTCCAATGAGTATAGATTAGTGATGGGAAATATCGAATAGTAACTATCGAACTATTCGATAGTCACTCAAAATCTATTCGAATAGTAAAAATATACGATAGTTATACAATATATTCGAATAGTTTTTAAAATATTTGATAGTCTATGCTAAAAATAAACTATTCGGTTGTATAAACACAATTCGAATAGTTAATCAATAGTTTAAAATATTTAAAAATTCCCATCACTAATTTTTACTATTATCAATTGTATAATAATTTATTTTAAGTATTCGTTAATTATCTTCTTATTATAATTAAGTATACTTAATAAAAATTTTAGGTAGAACTAATCGAATATTTTTTGAAACATTCGATAGTCTATTCGATAGTTTGTGCCAAAAATAAACTATTCGGTTTTATAAAAACAATTCGAATAGTTATTCAATAGTTAAAAATATTCGAAAATGCTCATCACTATTATAGATCAACGTTTGATACTGTAAAAAAAAACACGAAAAATATCAAATTTTTACAAATTTTTAAATGCTCTGAAATTAAACACAAAATGTTTATAAGATATTTTGCTATTAAGTTATTTTTATGATCTTCTCTATAACTAACTTAAATTTTATTCATTTAATAATATAAAAAAATATTAATTCTTTTATGATTTCATTATAGTTCAATCTCTAGCAAATTTTTAAAAAAGTAATGATAAATATACAATGTAATAAAAGTTAAAGGATTTGTCAGAATATGATGGAACATTCTGTGTAAGTCGTATAAGTTATAAATACTTCATGTTGTTGCAGTTTTAAACTGGAGTGTTGACATATTAACTTATTTTTAAATATTTCGATTATATATTATCGAAATATTTAAAAATGAAACACCTCAAGTTCCATACATTATTGAATAAATAATAATAAATAAGACATGGTATGAAATATATCATCATCGATGATTTGACAAACCTAATAGTTTCTGATCCGCCGAATATTTTGCATTACTTTATAATTAAATAGTTCATGCTTTCTTAATTACAGCAAAATCATAGTTTTTAATAAAAAAATCTTAACTTTTTTTTTAAAATTTCATAATAGCAAATTTTTTTTTAGATTAATATCAACTTTGGGATAAGAACTTATGGAATTGCAAACATTTTAATACATAGAATGGGTGTATAGCGCAAATTAGTACAGCTCGTACGGATGTAAACTGATGTATGTATAATACAAGTATACTCCAATGCTTGTAACTTGCTTAAACTATAGAAAACTAACTAACTTAACTAAAGACTAACTTTTTATTATTATTATTAAAAACAAACAATAAAAATATAACTTTAATTTTAAAAATGTAAACAATATAAAAAAAAGTAACGCAAAATATTTTTTAGATAAAGTTATTAGATTTGACAAAACATCGCGAACCACTCTTAATATACAAGCTGTTTCTTTTAACATTAACCACTTGATATCTCTTAAAATAATCATATTTAAAAAATTATTTTTGGTATTTTTTACTTTCATATATTTCTTGATTTATTTATTATTAATGTTTTTCTTAATTTATCTCTTTTATCTTATTAGGGTATCAACTTTATTATTTTAATGTCAATGTACATATTTAACATGCTTATAAAATGAATCTAATATTTAAGAAAATAATTGGCCGATAACAACGTTTGACTCATTTTTTTCGGAAGTTATTATACTTTTAAAATATATAATAGAGGTGAGGTGCGGACTATTATTATCATTTCTTACTACTCTACCGCATTCTTCCTCTATTGTATATTTTAAATAGTAACCTACTTTCGAAATAATGGATAAGTTATCAACCAGTCATTTTCTTAATAAGAATTTATATTTATTTTAAAAGTTAGTTTTTCTTTTATTTATTAGAAAAACAATATATACATAAAAAGTATAATAAGTTTTTTTTTATATATTCAATTACATAGCATTAATAGCGTTATATGAAGACTAGTAAAGCTACTGAAGTATGTATTTTGATATTTTAAAAAATAAACAATTCGCCATCAATTTGAGTGTTCAAAAATTAAATGCTATACAACTACACGTTTACACATTTGAAAATTTGTTGATAAAAATATGTTACCGTCGAAAAAATGTATACAATATAATTAATTTATGGAGACTCACACTCTGATGTTTGTATATTCCTTAAATTCTTAAATTCTTAAAAAGTAATCCATTAAACAAATATATATTTAAAATAATTTAAAATATAATCTATGAAGTAAGAGAACGCGTTTACTTTTTATTTTATTTCAGTTAATAAATTCAAATCGTACTATTAATATTCAAATAATACTTTTGGAGTTTGTTTTGCTAAAAAAAATGTTATTCTTAACTACCATACACTACTAGCTATGTGATAGAAAAAAATGCGCTTTGTAACCCTTAGTTACTCTATGAGTATACAATAAATATTCTAATAATTAGAATGCCTAATATAATTATTATAATATTTTTACCATAAACAATAATATTTTAATAAATCAAGTGTTTTTTTATTTGATTAGGTTTTTCGTACATAGGTATATTTTTATCTCGCCATAAAAAAATATAATTTAACGTAATTATGATTTTTACCGGTTTCAAACGTAGTATGGAAATCCACAAAAATATATTACCAATAGACTGGTTTTTACTTTTATATCATTATCTTGATAGAGCATAAGTATTATAACGTATTAACCTTGGGCGGGTTATCCTGATCCTGGTACTGCATAATTATTTACTATGATTCAAGTAGCAAAATTTCCCAAGTATACTAGGGATACTATATAAGCGCTTACATTCAGAGTTCAAATATACAGATATATCTTTGGAATTTGAAGTACAGTTGCACTATTCTTTGTTATAACAAAAATATGGCAATTAAACTCAAGTCTGTAAGTACTTATATTTATTTCATTTTGTTCTACTTTAAAACGCAGTAGGTGATCTATATGAATATTAATCACAATTAACTTTACTAAAATGTTATGTATATATAATAAAAAAAAATTCATTTTTTGAATGTTATAATCAAGCTAAAAAAAGACTTTTAATAAATATACTATTTTATTACTATTTATTTAAATAATTTTTCAACAGCTTGTAAGAACATTTATTACTATGTTCTTAGCCCCTAATAAGCTCCATATGATATATATATATAAGATAAGATATATATATATATATATATCTTTATCTTTTTTTTTTTAATTGGTTCAAGTTTAAAATTAAACACTAATTTATATTACCCAATATAAATCATTCAAACCAAATCTAATAATAACATTCTTAATAAAATAAATATATTTTGTTCTTACGTAATAATGCAGATAATAATCTACTTAACGGGAATAATTCTATCAAATAAACATATAATACAGAATTAATTTTTTTAGCATTGCTAAATGTATTATAACATATACTAAATAATAAATTACAATGGTTTCATAATCTCCCATATATATAATCAGAGTTTAACGACGTCTATACAAAGTGTTCAGTAAGGAAACGGATCAATTGTTACCAACAATGAGAAAAGAAACCCGTTTCCTTAATTACTGAACACCTATGTAACAACATACGCTGTAGCTAACCTTATCATAATTTTTTTTTTCAATTTCATTTTATAAAAAATATAAGAATGTACAGTAACTAAGGAAACGGGTATCTATTGTTTTCATTGTTTGTAACAATTTATCTGTATCCTTACTTACTGAACACTCTGTATATAAAAGTACTACTGAGATACAAATTAAGACCGCTTGAATAATAGAATTTTTTTATTTGATTACTATTTTATTGTAAATTATTTTAAAATGCGATACTAATATCTTTCAAAGCCAAATGTTTATAAATAAAAATTTAATAAATAAATTTCTGTACAGATATTGGTGCTGCAAATTATTTTTGTTGTAATGTTATTGCAACAAGTATTATGTTATCCTGAACCAAATCCGCACCACGAACATAAACATGTACACTGGCACGGCCATGGACACCACGGACATCATTATGGTCATGGACACTACGAACATTATCATGGCCATGAACCCTATCACTGGCACGGTCATGGACACAATCATTGGCATGGCTATAAACATGTGCATCATCATGGACATGGACATTATCATGGATAGGAATATGGTCCATTTGAAAAAAAAACATTTATTTCTATAGTTTTTTTTTAAATTATTGTCAATACATTCCTATAAAATTTTGTTAAAATCTTTGTATTATTAACTGTATATTAATTTTTTTCAATTTAAAATGATAAATAAAAGAAAATTTAGAACCGTACCAATCTTAATACTTAATCGCAAATATTAAAAAAAACAATTTAAACTTCAAACCAAAGTTTAGCCCATAATTTAAAGAACAAATAAAAAAAATTATTTTCTGAATAGAGAATAATTCATTTATCATAAACCTTAAATACGGACCGAATAATAACATAGGACATCTTTAACACTGATGAAAGCCAAAAATAAAAGTATTATAAAGAAAGAGTATTGAACAACATTATAAACGCAGTATAATTTTTTGTATTGATAAACATTTTTTATTTTTACTTATACTTATTTGACGTTATGGTTAGACACGATTTATGTTAAAAGAAATTCCTCACAAGTATTAGAATATTTTGCAATAGTTTATAATGATTTTACTATAGGTACTCTTCAATATTAAATTTTGAAAAGAAAATGTTAAATTTTAACACATTTTTATGATTGGGAATTCTATTTAAAACACTATTGAGGAAAGTATTAACTAAACATGTTTAGTTAATTAAAAAAGATGAAAATTGATAAATAAAACTAAAAATGAAGTCACAAAATGTAAAGAGTTCAATATTTAAAGTAAATTTTTTCGTACTGAGTGAAAATACATTAAGTGCAAGCGGAAAAAAGTTGAACTTTTACTATATTAATAACTTGTGTTGTAAAATTTTATGATGTTTTTATTTAGTAATTAATACTTTACATATATTTAGACAATTTAACAGTAAAATTATACCTAAGGAAGAATTTAGCGAGTTACTAATGATTTTTAAATCGTAGTTCGTTGTAAAAATGAATAGCCCCATTAAATACTTTTTGTTGTTGAAAATTTAATTAAGTTGACCTTTTCCAGACCATTGCTTATATTAGTGTGTACCTATATTTTTCCTATTTTTTTTTTTATCCCTTCAGACCCAACTATATATTTTTAATTAAAATTACTCAAAATCAATTATTATATCACACTTATAGTATAATTAAGAGTAAACCTAAAACAGGATAAGAATTGATTATCCAAGTAATCTATTTTTAACCTTTAAAACTGTTTTTTGCTTTGAACTATTAATGTTTCTCTATTTAAATAGTAGATAAAAAATTAAAATTTTTTACTTAAAAGTACGTTTTAAAAACAATAATTTACGATGTTTAAACCCCTTTAAGTTTTTTGCCGGATTATCAAATATGTAAATTATCAAAAGAAAATTTTCTTATTACCAAACAAAATTTTGAGTTAAAAAGTTTTTCTAAAGAAAATTATAGTAGTTTGAAATTTCAAAAAAATGAATCAAAGTTGTTTATTTTTAACGGTTTTAATATTTCAGAATATTTTCGTTAGCAAAAAACCCAGCACAGTGAGGTGGCGGCACAGTGGGGTCGTGGCATAGTTGGGTCCAGTATAGATGATATCTGACAGTAATTGAAATCACTATCATAAAAAACGCTTCGATGCAAATCTGTAGATAGTGTTTAATTTAAAAAAAAAAGTAGGTCAAGTGAGAGCTGAGAAAATAAATGATAGCTACAAAAAAAAAAACCACATAGTAAAATAATATTAATATGAATTTCTTCTCACGAGAGGAGACTACAGTAATGGGATTCTTGATATTTATTGAAGTTATTGAATCTAAATGAGATAAAAATCAAATGAGTTAAACATTTTTTTCTAACTCAAAAAGAATTAAGAAAAATTCAGTGCCACAGGCATGAAAGACCCAAGTGTTACCGTCTCAGAAAGCGTACGTCGCATTCGTCACTTAATAAAAATGGAAATTTACTTAGTTCAAATTTTAAAGTTATTTTTCTCAACTTCAAAGAAACAAAAAAATTTAAATATGCTTAACTTTCTATACTATGTCAATCTAATTATTGATATAATATTTATGAAAATCAGTGTAATCCCCTTATAATAAAATAAAAACAAAACCAAGAATTTTAACACAAAAATAGCATATTTTTGAGTATGGTAGCTATTTTCACCATGAAGACAAAATAAAGTCCGAATTTTTTTTTTTTAATATTATAGTATATTACATAAGCTTTAATTTAAGATATATATAAAAGTGTCAGACCTTCTGGAACACTTTCAAAAGTTAAGTTGAAAAAGTTAATTTTTTGTAAAAAAGTTGTAATTTTGAATCCCCCCTTATGGGCAGGTAAAGGGTTAAATTAATAAAAAAAATAACAAAAGATAGGTAAATACCTCATGTATTTAAAAAAAATTATATCGATTTTGTCATTTTTAAAAATTTATGACAGTTTTAAGTAAAAAAATTGAAAAAATTTCGAAAATTAGCGATTTTTAAATTTGTAATTTTTTTGGTGGTTTCCCCCATTTACGGGGAACGAAGGAAATTTTTTCAATTTTTGAGGTAATGTCTTTGACTAAATACGATTTGTGATCTTTTGACGTATCGTTGAAAGAAATTGGTTCGGTGAGAGCTGAGAAAAAGTGGTAACAGACACAAAAAAAAACATATATAGTAAAATTAATACCTTCTCTGCTTCGTATCGAAGCTAAAATAAAATTGAGTATTTTAAAATTTTAAGGTTCATCTTCAATTGTAATTAATTGTATGTAATTTGAATTATTTTGACGCATAATTGTTGAAAAAATCAGTTCAACAGACACTGACCCAAAAATGAACAGACAAAAAAAATAATGCACATCATGGTAAATGAAATACCTTCTCAGATTCACATCAAAACTATAAAAAAAGATAGGTACACAATAGTGTACAACGAATCTGAAACAGTGCTTCCAACACTAAAATATGTTCAATGGAGTAATATTTACTATTGTATCGAAAATATAGTATTTAAAAAGTAATAATAAGTCCGATAGTCTCTCGGTTCTAAAAAAAGTGAACATGGTTTGTATTTTTTGCGTACTCTTTGGGGTGTATTATTCAATATTTTCATTTTACAATGATAATATTGATACGATACCAAAAATATTAATTTTTACAAGAAATCGATGTGTACATCGACGTGTACGTCGAGTACATAAAATATAGTATTTGAGTAAAAATAAAAATCTAAAAAATTGATTTATTGCTATAATAATAAATTAGATTTTTACTGAAACTTTTCCGATTCAACAAAATTCAATGATTACAGACATTGATAAAAATAAATTTCCATACTTGTTATCTCTAGAAAATACTAAGTTTATTAACATTAATCATAGTACCCGCATAATGTTTGAAAAAAACGCCAAGGGAAAATACCTACACCAAACATGTGTTTATTAATTCATTTTTCTTACTATCACAATCTCAAATTTATAAGTTTAAATAATTAACTTCTTGCTTTACTTTTTTTCATTATTAAAAATATGAATAAACAAAAACTTTTAGGACATCTATGAAATCTTAATTTAACATTTAAAAATTAAAATATTTATTACACATAATGTTATAGTAAAAAAATTTAAGAGAATATCATTATGTTTAATAACGCAAAAACAAAAATACGGTGTTTGTATTGATTGGCAGCACGCAATTTTCAAAAGCTTACACTTATGGTCAAGACATTATAAGACTTAAAGAGTAAGTATTAAAAATCAAATTATATTTTTTAATTATTCTTAATAATTAACTCACTGCATTAAAATAAAATATTATAACATAGTTTATTAATGTATAATTTGAATTCAAGAAGTTTGAATCGATTGTAATAAACTTGTAACAGTACTTATATAGATGTTTAGAATTCAAACATTTATCTTAACTTAGGATAATTGAAGAAATCTGAATTAAATGAAAACGAGCTGAATTAATTTGAAGATAGGTAGATATATCGTTTGAACTTCACAATTGTCAATACTATAATGAAAAAATAAGTCCGATCGGCGCGTGCAGTTGACATCATGGTAATAAATCAACAGATAAAGAATTTCGGACAGAAATAGAAGTGAACTACAAAGAACTTAACTGCGATGTATAATGACAATTGTGATACAAGAATGATTGAGAATAATATTATTTACAACACTTTTAAAGAGGGAGTATAGTAAGTCATGTAGATTCCGCCACTTTTTGTACGTCGACATCTAAAAGACAACTGCAAATCATTTTAAAAGGATAGTTAAGAGATGCAGATAGCGTAGGAGCAGTTGACAGCAAATGAACGAAACTAATCGGTAAGTATAACACAAACTAGTAACTGAATTATGAATATTATAGTAATATAATCATATAATAATCGATTTCGAACCATAAGCTCATATAAGGATAGACGTAAGGCATTTTTTAGATAAATTGAACTTTCTAGTAAAATGATGTTGAAATGAACAAAAAGTTACCAAATATTCTGATTTGAGCCAAAGATATGAAAGAAATATTAAAATGCTATTCTTAAAATAAAATATAAATATAAAAAATAAACATTTTCAAGACAATAAAGATTTTCCGATTGAACAAATTATTTTTGCAACTTAACAAGTTAGAAGCCATTTTTTACCAAAGAGAAATTTAACTTTGAGTAATAAAAGCTAAGTTTATATTTATTCCTTTTTTTCATATATTATTTATCCAATTATCTTCTCATGAATTTTATGGGAAAATTAATGAAAAAATCTTAATTGATGTTTATAGTTAACGTTCTCTCTTAAAAAACTGTCCTTTGTGCCAGTTTGGTAACATTATACAAAAATACGTTTTTGGAAATGAACTATTAATTATAATGGTCTACAAGGAATTTTCATCAAAGACGAAAAGATAGTTTTCTAAAGCAATTTTTCAAACTATTTTTTTATTTGTCTCTAGTTTTTAAATAAATTACCAATTTGTAAAAAATTGGAATAATTACACTTAAAAAGTTAATCAAAAACAAAATTGTTTTTCAAAGTGTTATTGATTTTGACTTTTAGTATATAAACAAAAATTCATGTGAAAATTCGATCCAAAATATCGTGTTTAACGTATTTTTAGATCTTTAAAGTTGATGTTTACGAAAGTTAATAGTGAAAAATTTGAACTTTTTAGCATAACTAGTAAATTTGAAATGAATATCTTTAAA